TGGCGTTCGGACCTTACAAAGTGAGCTAATAACGGTTCATGTGGGCTGATGGACGAGATACCTCGCGCACATCTCACGACACGGAGCAAACAATTTCGGATACCTCGTCTGAACGCCAGTTCCCCATTCAAGAAAAAGAGGGAGTTCCTGTTTGAAGGCTTCATGGGCAGTTTGCTTTGCTCCTTTTTTTCAATTTCAGTCGACTTGGCATCCACAATTTCATTGTCGACCGTTGTATGTCACCTAATTGATATGTGGCTGTGGCTTCAAAGGAAGATCCACGATAAGGACGAAGGTCGAAGAAGAGGAAATTCACCTAGTAGAACAATAGGTGGACCCCCTAAAGATGAGAACCATTACGCAATTCGCAGCGAAAGGATATGCTCCGGCGACCTAGCGAGGCCCTCCCAACGGCGCTATTGGTGCGGCACGCCCCCCCCCCCGTCTGGCTTGCCATCGCCGCAGGTTTCTACCCATTCACCAGAGAGAGAGAGAGTGAGAGAGCGTAGGCGTTGAAGAGGGCACAGCGATGAGAGTCGCATCAATGCGCAAATCAACGGGCAAGGAAGGGGTCCCATTTCTCGGGTTCTGGGCCGTTTCTCATGGTTTCTTCTTCATCCCTGCACCACTGACCTTTCTTCAAGAGTAGTTTTATATTGAAAAAAGCGTCCCATGCTATATTTGATTCCTTTTACGGTTTTTTATGCTCCTTCAGCATCTCAGATGAATCGCACCCTCTTAAATGGGGTTCGAGTGATTGAGTTGGCCGGACTCGCTCCTGTGCCACATTGTGGAATGGTATTGGCCGATTTCGGCGCCAATGTTACCGTCATTGAAAAGGTTAGTTAGATCACCAGCAATTAGTACAGGGCTAGTGAAAAACAAGAGAAATAATGCTTCAATGACCCTTTGATTGACTAGCCTTTCAGCCTAGCCGTGATGATGACATACCCATGGAGCAACGCATGGCAGAGAGGAAAACACTGCAAGGACTTGATCTGAAATCACCACAGGACGTTGAGAAGTTGAAACAGCTTTGTCGAACTAGCGACGTGCTTCTCGACCCCTACCGTCCAGGAGTTCTGGAACAAATTGGTCTTGATCCAGTCAAACTACTCGAGGTACAATTTTGAGACTAGCCGCTACATTTTTACCTACTCTGTATTCCTATTACTACCCCTTCCGGCATTTTTGCCTTGAAGATAGAATTTACGATGAAAAGTGAGCTCATTGAAAATAAGGGAAGAGGTTCTAAAACGGGTTCCCACTCCATAACAAAATTTCGCAGCCGTTGGCTTGAAAATAAAGCGTTTTGCATCAACAACTCCTGCCCAGAGATGCGCCACGCACTTCACAGTAAGTTGCAAAGGCATTTGAAAGGCTATTTTCCTTTCTCTATGATATGTGAAGTTGAGCGACCTTAGAGTAGGACCCTGGTCGATTCGCCGCTGTTCTACACTGACAACTACCCCCTCCCCTCCCTCGCCCCGCCCCACCCATCCCTCTGTGGAAAAAATGTGATTCCTTCGTTGATCTGGCACAGCGATGGGTTTACCCTGAGAGGACAGATTCATTGAAAAATATCCATTTCACAGTAATCTCATAACACCGGTGAAAATCCTGAGTGCCTAAATTTGACATGGCGCCTCTAACCGCGCGCTACCCCTTCCCTTTCAGTGAGTTCAATGGTACCTGTATATCGGGCAGTCTCCAGAGAACGCTGCATAAGGTTGAGTCCACAAATGTTCGATGTCGTGATAACGTCTGATAAACGACGCCAAATACGACAGGCCTTCAAACATTGAACAGTCAATGATGCAACCGTGGCCACCTGAATTAATATAATGTTGAGAAGGTCCTGGAAGGAGCTTTGGAGTTCAACTTTCTAAAGAACATGACGGACCATTTTTCTCTCTTTTCAGTAGAGCCGCCACAATACCAAAAGCAGCGGTCCAGTCCTCCACAGCAAAGTCGGCGAGAAGAATTGGCCGGAGGCCAAGGACGAGCACAGTTATGACCTGATGTTGTTGGCAGCAACCCTGGAAAGGAGAATGCTGTTACATGGAAGTGATTGTAATTAACTGGC